AATTGAAGGAGTCATGTATTTGACAAGTAAGTTCAAGTAATTAACAAGTTCTGTTAAGGTATTAACAAGTAAAATTATGCGATCAAACAAATAATGTAGTTCTATTGTGTTAATCAAAAACTTAATAAGGAAAGTTAAGTAATTAACAAGTTCTACTAAGGTATTAACAAGTATAAGTACACGAGTAACAAGTAATATAGTTCTGCTTCAAGAGTCATAGGATAACAAGGAAAGTTAAGTAATTAACAAGTCTTGTTAAGGCATTAACAAGTATAGTTATATGATTAACAAGTAATACAGTTCTTCTATGGGAGTCATGGGGTTAACAAGAAAAGTTATGTATTAACAAGTCCTGTTAAGGTATTAACAAGTAAAGTTACATAATTAACAAGTAATATAATAATCAAATGGTTTGTTTAACTCATGAGCCACACAATGAAATTGTGGGAGAAAGTAATTAAGTATAGGTTGAGATTGGAGACAAGTATTTTTGAAAATCAATTTGATTTTATGCCAGGTAGATCAACTACAGAGACGATTTATCTACTAAGGGGATTAATGAAAAAGTATCGTTGTAAAGATAAAGATCTACACATGATTTTTATTGATTTGGAAAAAGCTTATGACCGTATACCAAGAGACTTTGGAAAGCGTTGGAAAAAAAGGGAGTACGGATTGCTTATATTAAAGCCATACAAGATATGTATGAGGGGGTAAAAACTAGTATAAGAACACCTAGTGGTAAAACAAAGGATTTTCCTATAAAGATTGGACTATATCAGGGATCATCTCTGAGTCCTTATTTGTTCAACTTGATTTTAAATGTTTTGACGAAACATATTCAAGAGGAAATCCCAAAATGTATGCTCTTCACGGATGATATAGTTCTTATAGCAGAGACAAGAGAAGAGGTTAATTGTAAACTTGAGTTATGGAGGAAGACATTGGAGTCGAAAGGTTTTCGTCTGAGTAGAAGTAAGACGGAATATTTATATTGTAAATTTGGTAAAGGAATATTCGACAATAATTTAGAAGTGAAATTGGGAGATCAAATTATACCTCAAGTGGAAAAGTTTAGATATTTGGGAGCTATTATTCAAAATGATGGCGAAATTAGTGGAGATATTTCACATAGAATTCAAGTTGGGTGGTTTAATTGGAGAAAAGCTAAAGGAGTTATTTGTGACCGTAAGGTGCCTAATAAACTTAAAGGAAAGTTTTATCGCACTACTATCAGACCAGCAATGTTATATAGTAGTGAATGCTGGGCTCTAACGAGACAGCAAGAGCATAAAGTTAGAGTAGCAGAGATGAGAATGTTACAATGAATGTGCGGACATACACGTAAAGATAAAATTCAAAATGAGCACGTACGCGAAAAAGTGAGGGTGGCACCTATTGAGGAAAAAATGGTAGAAAATCAGTTGAGATGGTTTGGACATGTACAAAGAAGACCAAGGGAGGCACCAGTGAGAAGAGTGGAACATATAACTTTGAGATAGAGGAAGGCCTAAGAGAACACTCTTGAAAGTTGTTGAACGCGATCTCTTAATTAATAATATTCCTAAAAGCTTGATAAATAATAGAGCACAATGGCGTCTTGCAATCCATGTAGCCGACCCCACCTAGTGAGATAAAGGCTTGTTGTTGTTGTTGTTGTTGTTGCGTTAGATTATTAACTACACACGCACACATATTTGACAAGCCATTATTAATTGTGTGTAAATAAACTTGGCAACAAAATTGAGTAAATAAACAAAAATATATCAAGTTAATTTCTCTAGTTTTTCTCTCTTTACTCCTTTTTTAGTTTAGATTTGTTTACATTTAACTAGAAATGCTTTCATGTATGAGTAAAATTTGAAAACTAATTTTTGTGGGTGAGCAAGGTGTGACATATATATGGTCTAGATTTAATAACTTTTTAAAAGGGAAACTTGCACCTAAGGCCCCCAAAGGAAAGAAATTGAACTTAAGGACCAATGCATTCTAAAATTATTCTACAAGCCCAATAGCTCTTTTTACAGATGTGTTTTAGGGGGAAATGACACAATTGCCTTTGGTAAGAAAGAAAAAACTTTATATTCACTATTAATGGACATTACTTGTTAATAGATGAATTTAAAGTTGTAAATTTGTGAACATCTAATTATAAAATTTAAATTTGCTGTCAAGATGAATCTTAGTCTTGAATATGTGGAGTAATAAATTCTGGACTTTGATTTATAAATAAATGAACCTATACTTATGAATATTTGAACTTTATTAAGTTGTAAATTTATGTAGTTGGCCATGATGAACTTGTTAACCTTAAGCAAAAATTTCACTACTAATTAACAATTACTTTGTAAATACATGAATTAAAGTTGTGAATTTATGAGCATCTAGTTATAAAAGTCTAAACTTATTGTCATGATAAACTTTAGTTCTAAATATATAAAGTCATAAATTCTAGACTCTGACTTGTGAATAGATGAACCTATACTTGTAAATATTCAAACTTTAAGTTGTAAATTTATTAACTTATCAACTCTAAATAAAAATTTCACTACTAATGAATAATTACTTATTAATAATATGAACTTAAAGTTGTGAATTTATGAACTTATAGTTGCAAAAATGAGAATTTGTTGTCAAGATAAACCTTCTAAATATATAAAGTCATAAATTCTAAACTTTCACTTGTGAATAAATAAACCTATACTTGTGACTATTTGAACTTGGCCAATGTGAAACTTTGTAACTCTAAACAAGAACTTCACGACTAATGAATAATTACCTGTTAATATATATGATCCTAAAGTTGTGAATATGTCAACATCTTCTTGTAAATTTGAGCTTTTACTTGCTATCTTTTCTCATTAAGGGTAATTATGTCTTTTCATTGTAAAACAGTTTTTCAAAAAGGGCCCAAAGGGTTGTAGAATAATTTCATACTTCATAATACATTGGGCTCCAAGTGCAATTATTTTTCTTCTGAAATCCCTCGATACGATTTTCCCTTTTTAAAATGATATTTAGATGTTAAAAGATGTGAAATTTATTACATAATCTATATTCCAAGTGATGTGAAGCAGTTGAAATTATTAAAACAATAAGAAGGATGAAGATTCCAATTGGCAATTCAGTTTATTGGTTAGATTGTCATCATTATTTTCTTTGCATATAAAAGAATAAGTGTGGTAAGCATGTCAACTTCGACGATTTTGAAGTCTCCACATACTTATGTCCTTCACGCTCATGCTTTCCCAGATAGAGATTACACTTTAAATTTTAAATTAAGTTATTAAAAATGTTAGGACGACAGACGTATCAGATAATATGATTAAAATATGATGTGTTCACACTGATTTAATTAATTAATTGACCCAAGATTATGAGACTATTTATATCCTCATTATAGTTGTTGACAAATTGTACTAGTAGTGTCTAGGGATCGGTTGTGTTTGACACATGAAAAAGAGATTTGAAGAGAGAAAAAATGGTGTTCTATCCAAAAAGAAGAGAAGAAGAAGAAAGAAAGGAAATGTGCAAGAAAGTCGCGCTACATAAAATTTTAAATGGCATGACTTCTTATAGATCTTTATATATATATATATAAAGATATATATATATATATATATATATATCGATTAACTTCTTAAACTAATTAATATAAACTGGTAGGCTGCATGGTTTGGTTTTCTATTTTAAACTCCACTTAAATGTACAATATTCATTCACTCTAATTTTCATTAATAATAGTTAATTGACAAATTACAAGTAGAACAAAATATTTTAAGTGGTGATTTGTCTTTCACTGCAAATTAAAGTCATCCCACCAACTTGCTCGATGGACTTAATGTTGGCGATTAAAGAGGTCACTTTGATAATATGGATTCGGTAAGTGTCATAATTAAATTCTCTCACCTAATGAGTGTTTCATATGACATGATAGATATCATTGATTCAATTGAATAGTTGTTGAAGATGTAGGCACAAAATACAGAGAAAATATAAAATGACACTGCTACTCCTTCCATCCCAAATTATAAGATAATTTTAAAAAAAATTCAGCGTTCCAAAATATATGACACTTTGATAAAACTAAGGTTTTATTAATGATACTTTTTCAATATTATCTTTCTCATATATTCTCTCTCTTTAATATTTTTTCATCAATGGAGTATTAAATAAAAGGCATTTTTGAGAGTTTATATTTTTGTTTTAAAAAAGTAAAGTTATAAAGTGTATTTAATAAGCTTTATTAATATGTGAGATTTTATTTAAAAATGTTTTATAATTTAAAATAAAGGGATTACCTTTTATTGTGCCCTATATGCCTTGGACTTAGTCAGAAACATACACACACATATATATGGAGAGAGAGAGAGAGAGAGCGAGTAAGAAGATGCAGATCGGAGAGAGTAAGGAAGCGAAGATTATAAAGAGCAAGCAGACGCGGATGAGAGAACAACGATCATGTTGACTGACAATAAGAGGATGGAAACAACCAAGTAGATGACTGAAAAAATTGAGAGGATTTGTAACACTACTCATCGTTTTATTTATTTCTGATCAAGTATGAATTTTCAAACTTCGATAAAATCTTATGACGTTAATAATGCGAGCACTCATTAGATGAGAAAATTTAGAATATTCATTAAAATCCCATATTTCCCCCTTCTATTTACTTCAGCCTCAGCATCCAAACATGAGAGACATGGCTCCCCCCAACCATAAAAAACAACACTAATTAATGACAAAGTTGGGTAATAAGGTTTACAAAATCGATCAAGTCCAATTTCTCTGCGGATTAAAAGGCTGCTGTTTCTTTTCCACCGTATGAAATCAAAAACTCACTTTCTGTTCACACACACACACATATAGAGAGAGAGAGAGAGAGAGCTAAAACCAGAAAAAAAAAAAAGAAAATTTGGAGACAAATTAAATCAATCATGCCCACAAAATACGTTGTTGGTATCAACAAAAATTGCCGGGAAAATGATGGTCATCGAAATCTATGGAGGCGATTGCAAATTGGAAGAGCTCTCAAGCATTTGGCGAAGATGGGAAGCTTCTTCTTTAAGCTTAGCATTCTCCTGAAGAACCCTATCATGTGACTCTAACACATGTTTCAGTCTCTGAACAAGCTCCTGGTTCTCCGTTCTGAGTCTGATCATCACCCAATTCAGCACCTCCATGTGCCTCTTCTTCCTCATCCTCGACCTTCGAGCCGATTCTCTGTTCGATACCATTCGCCTCTGCTTCTTCTCCTCGGCTTCATCCGAGGTTGACGAAGAAGGAAAAACAACGTTAACAAGTTCTTGATGATGATGATGATGATTTGTTGCAGCTGAGAGTGTATTTACGTTAAGGTTCTGGATAATTTCGTTGTGGGGAAGGAAGATGTTGTTGAAGTCTTGCGAGATTAGGCTGTGGCTGATCATGTGGATCTGCAAATTTACTAGAAGATGATGATGGTGATGATTGTTGAAGAAATTAAGGTTCTTGTGTAATGGATTATTGAATATTATAGGTGGGATTTATAGAAGTTTCATGGCTAATCAAATTAAATATATAAATAAGTGGACGTGCACAGCACGTGCACATGTGTTCGTTGAATGAACAGTTGGAACTTTTGTTAAAAAAAAAAAAGGTATAAGGAGAATTTACTTCTAATTAACACAAATATCTGATTCCACCTAAATTAATTAGATTCTAATTAATTTTAATAAAGTAAATCAAACAGATTGGCTAGATCTAAGAAAGTCTTGACATGTCCTTAACACGCGCAACACACGTACGCACACGTCTAAAATGATTACATTAGCTGTGAAAAAAAAAAAAATTCATCCAAATGACCATATGTCCTTTTAAATGATAATTAAAGTCCATTAACACATTTAATCTCAATTTTGATTATAGAATCGGTTGTAGTAGTTAAGTTATAATGGTTAAGTTTTTGATAAGATTTTCTAAAAAAATAAGTTGTAGATATCGATTCAAAAAATTGTTGATAAATTAAAATCATTTAATATTTCTATATGTTATTGATTAAAAATCTTTTTTTTTTACAAATTATATATTTAAACTAAAATATTAAAATCTAAAAACTTTTGAATAAGATAAATTAATTAAATTTAAATCCAAGATTTGTTGATTTAATTTTTTATCCTGGTGAATCATAGCAAAATGAAGTTAGGTGATTCCCCATTATGGAAAAATTAATGAGATAAGGTTGAATTGATGTCCAAGGTATAATTTATATAGGTGAATAAAGAATAAACTATATGACCTTAGACATAGTGGCCATGAAAGAAGATCAAAGAAAAGAACATTCCTGATATGCCATGGAAATTTGGAAGAGGATTCTCGTGTCATCATTTCCCATCCTTTTTAGATTGTTAGGTTTTCATCATTTAAATAAGTAGTTGAAGGATCGAATTTCAATCCTTATATATGAAATAACTTATAGTTGGGAGAGCGGCATATATCCTTTACCCTTGGTACCACTCGAGGAGATAATTTATGATGTCAAGCGTAGACTCTACTCCTTATGCTAAAAAAAAAAAAAAATCTAGCTACCTCCATTTATGCCCTCCATCCAATCGAAATATTATTTGAAACAAGTAATAATTATATCTTGAGATTTGGAACATGATATATCTTTAAAAAGGTTTTTTGTTTTTTTTGGTAAGATATTTTGTTTTTTAACTTTATTTTTAAATTATTCATAATAAATTTTAGCAATCTGAATATCATTATTTATCCTTTTATAATTTAACATTTTAATAATAATTTTGTAAGAAATCAAATTTAAAAATGTAAGCGGTATTAAACGGAGGGTAAAACTGGAAAAGAAAAATAATTTTTTTATATAGTAATATAATTATTCCTATATACATTGATTTTACTTTTTCCCTGATTTTTTTTTTCTATGAGAGAACAAGTAAGGACAGAAGAATTATATATTTATAACAACGTGATGGATAAGATATCTACCAATACACTCCACAAAAAGAACTTTAGGTGAAATACCATTATCAATTACTTTAGTGAATTTTCTTCCTCTACACAACTTTATTACTTCTACATTCTTCCTCTATTTTCAAAACAAGATAGCTAGACCTTTTAAATTAGGCTATGGAGCACGTAAACTGAAATAATATAATTTTAAGAATCGAATTATATATATTTAATGAATTTTTAAGATATAAATTAAAAGTGCATGCCTACATGGTCCTTATTTTATTGTTAACTATATAAATTATTTTACTAGGAATATGATGCAAAGTAAAAGTACTGTTCCAACTACCAATTTTTTTTTATTTGACCGTAAATGTATTAGTTGAGTAAAAAATTAAAATATATATATATATATATATAAGTTCGAGACCATAGAGAACTTATCTATATTAAAGATGAGTAATGTATGCTCATTCTTAAGATGAGTTAAAATTCCGCATTATTTTTGTGTACTAAATAAAAATATAAGTTTGATTATATTTAAAAAATCAATTGAAAAGAAAATCTCATTTGAAAACATATTTTTTTTATCATTAATCACTACCTATGTACCATCAGTGATCATTCATCATTGCTGACTCTCACCCCTTGATTATCATTTTTGCTAGCCACTATTGACCATCACCATCAGCCACTCCTTGCTAGCCCTTATATATTGACTATCACCATTGGCCGCCCTTGCTTGCCACCATTGATCACTGGTATAACATCTTAATCTTCAACCTAGGAATTTTAAGTTATTAGAAGGATAGAATGGTAATTTCAAGTGAATTTTTGACTAATGATGTTTATGGGAGATTAATATAGTTTTTGGATCCTTTGATAGCCTTAAAAGAGGGCTAGGTCAAAATTGGAGCAAGCCGTGGCACAGAGGAAGGTTTCAAATGTGAAGGGAACTATCTGTGCCATATACTGCTGTACACATACACAATTATGCGTTTTATCAATCATGAAACATACTTGAAATCTAAAGTGGGATAAGTGAAATTATGAGGAGGCAATGGGAGACAACTTGTGATTGCTAGGGTATGATCTTAAAGGTATCTTGGAGGCACATTGGGCTTACCACACTTTGGGTAAGATTCCATTTCCTCTCCCTCTCCCTCTATGTGAATTTCTAATGTTTTTGGCTATGGTTGAGACTTAATTTTGTTTCCTTTAGTTGTAGACCAAAACCATTGATTTGCTTAAGGTTTTGAAGAGTTAAATTAAGCCTCTAACCTTAGGTTTATAGATTTTACGGTGATTTAAAATTTTTGACTAGGGTTCACACTAACCCTAAGTGAGAATTTGAGGTTTTAGGGCAATATAGATAGTTGGTTGATGATTTTGGTATGTTTGAATGCTAAATAGGATTGTTAGAGTGTTTTGAAAGGGTTGGTGTTATTATATGAAGATTTTGGGTGTTATGGGTACTTGAAATCTAGTGATTTTGAGGTTTTATCGAAGTGATAATTGATAATTATCGATTAATTGTGTAGATCGAGTATTGCTCAAGCTTTATCGTGCATATAAAATGTGTGGAGCTAATATTGAACTACGGTAATCCTTTTATGTGACAAAGGTTGAGGTAACGAAATAATTTACACTATTTGATTATATTATTTAATTGTTTGTGAGTAAATATGTTAAATTGCTGCGTGAGATTTGATAACTTTGTATATAGCAAAATGTGATTTTATGCATATAAAACAAATTGCAAACAATGAAAGTGGCAAAAGTTTTATAAGGATTTAATAGGAATTTGATATGTATATGTGTTATAAATGAGATATATAAGTATGATTAGGAGAGAGGGTGGAAGTTCACTTGTAGAAAGGAGTAGTGAAAGTTCATATGACTTGTATCTCCTTAGTGCTTAGTAAGGCATAATGTTGGAGATTATCTTCTTAGTATCCAAGTGAAATATGGCGTTGGAGATTGATGCTTCTTAGCATCAGTGATACGGTGTTGGAGTAATGACACCCTGATTTGTGTACGATAAGGGGAGATCATAGTTTGAAAGTGAGATAGGACACCTTTGGCTAGGTAATCCTACCACTAAAGGTGATCTTGAGCCATTATAAATGTGCACTTAGTCCAAGAGCCTATGGTTTCAGTCAGGGTGATATGAAGACTCGAATGGTAGAATGATCATGCTAACTTGTGTTCATAAAAATGATATGTTGAAATATATAAAAGATTATTTTTGAAGTATATAAGCTTTACTTGCTTTTGGTTGTGCATGTTAATTGATAGTGGTAAAATTATTCTATTATTGAGATGTTCATCTCACCCCCGTGGTTATATTTTATAAGTGAGGACTCTGGTAAAGGCAAGGGGAAGGAATGGACAATCGAAGAGTAAAGAACATCGTTATATAGCTCTTCTCTTTCCTCATTTTGGGTTTTTATAATGAATATGTCTGAGGTTATGCCAACTTAGGATCATTACTTTTTTTTTGCTATCACTTATATGAAACTCTATGTAATGTGTGTGTATCTCGGCCTAAAATTGTGATACCTGTGGATAAGTGAGTGTGAATGGCCAAGATATTAGTATAAGTGATTCATTGTGTTAACTGTGTTAGAATAACCAAAATGAGTTTTATGCTGAATTTTATCTACCCTTTTGTATTGCTGAGAATTGGGGGTTTAATGGTCATTTTGAGTATGAATGGTTATTTTTATAATATGATTGGCCATGTATGTTATGGGTGGTCCATTTGAGTTAGTCCAAGTGATTCTGAAGCTAATGGCATTTGGTAGTGTGCAATGGACACCTTTAAATGTGTTTTGATGTGAAAACAGACCATTTTGAGTTTAAGTGTCCATTTTTTTTTAATGGATGATTATTTGAGTATAAGATTGGTGTTATTAGTTAGAGGGCTCAAAGAGCTTCGTGTGGACATTTGAACTGCTCATATTGGATGTCAGATGGTGAAATGGTGCACTCCAAAAATTCAAAGTGTTGTCATGACAGCAAGTTGCTGTCATGATAATGGGATTGTGCCACTGCGTAATTTATGCTAAGAGACTCATCCCTCTGTGTCATCCATCGTAGCCGGTGTGGCCTGCACTATAGAGGAAGGGCTAGTTTTTAGAGAAATTCCAATTTTCTTCTATTTATTTTTAAGTGCTATTTGCTCCTATGCTTCCATTATCCTATTTGATTTATTTTAAATCATAGTTTGAGCTCAAAGGACTATTGAAAAAGGATTTTTTTTTATCCCAGTATTTTAAATTAATTACTTTTAAATCCAAGGGTTGTGATAACTTTTACTTGAAATTTTAATTAATTTGAGTTATCACAATGGTGTGTTAGAGTGTTGTCCTGGTAACGTCAAGGCGAACATTACAACTAGTATTGGCTACTTCTAACAACCATTACATATCGATCACCACCATCAGTTGTTTGGCAGTAGTTGCACTGTTACAAGATG